TTCCCTTGATTATTATTTCTTTGATAATTGTCGTATCTAGGCTTCCATTGATACGTTATTCTTTTCCGCATCTATCCCTCTATTGCGATCATCGTATTTTATCATCCTTCTATCAGTATCCGCTTGATTATCTTTCTGCATTTCTATTTGTTTTATTTCCGTTGTGTCTTCTTCTATTTTTATGTTATCAATTTTATTAATTATTTTATCATATGCTTCTTCTTCCTCAATCTCCTTACCTTTTTTATTATCTCTGATATATCTATACTTTTTATATGTGAAATTTTCTGACGTATCTCTTTATTAGTTGAAAATATTTTTATTTTCTCGATTGCTTTACTATAATTACTGAATCTGCATTTATTACTTAATATACATAATCTAGTTACCCAATTAGTGAATGTTTCATTTTTATCTTGTACCACTTCACTAAATTCTTTTAGATACGTTATATACGATTTGTCTGGGTGTAATAGTTTGAATCTTTTAAGAACGATTGACGGATTGCAAAATTCTGTTAGAGTACATATTGCTTCTAGTTTAAGGTATTGTTCTTCAGGTAATTTTTACGTGAATGCGTAAGCTCTTTCTGCATCAGAATATTGTGGATCCTTAAAAATATTATCAAATTTTTTTAAAAAAGCTTCAACACTATTATTATAATTTGGACATTCAATAATAGTATTTTTAACGTTTACTAAAGGTTTCATTATACTTTTTTTATATCACATCAATATTTTATAACTATAATTTATTATATATATATTTATTTAATTACGATACGATTAATATTGATAATTTCTTTAACGCCTCTGATATTGTTTTGCCTTCAGTATAAACAATCTCCCATTGGCATCAATATATTCCTTTCCATTTATAAGTCCACAGGCCTGTTGCATGTCATCAAGTCTATCATATCGTATTAGAATTATAGTTTTGCTTTCATGTAATTTATATATCCAATCTCTTTTGTTATTATCAAAAATTCTTTTTATACTTATTTCAATTGGTAGCGTAATGATTATCAAGTATTCTGCCACCATAATAATTTAATGGAAGGCGATAAAAATTAAAAATTATATTTATAATTAAATTTATTTTTATTAACACTTTATTAAGACTTTTTATTTAACATTTTGTGCTCTATATATATACATTTTTAATTTACATTTTTACATATTAAAATAATAAATTTTTTAAAAGGTTATACAAAAAACGAATTTAGACAAGGTCTTCCTTATATTTTATAAAAAGTATAAGAAAGAATTACGAAAAGGTCATTTAATTTAAAAAGAAAAATATAAAGTTTATTCAAAATTTATACACATACATTGATTGATTTAATATTAATTAGATTGACTAACTTACTAAAAATCTAACAACGAAAATTTAAAATAAAAATTGGTGGTTAATTTGAATTAAAAACTGGGCTTAAATTATTTATAAAATTCAAACCAGACTGGATGAAATGACGCTAGTCCTTTGGAACCAAGGTTTACCCCTCGCTTGGGATTATGCATATGTAGATCGTTTTGCCAGATCTTTTTCTGTCAACTCCATCACCAAAGCTGAAAATACAAAAACAAATAAATATAGCCACCTTAATAATCTTTTGTTTGTTCCGGTAGTCTCAGACACCTATGGATTATTTTGACCCCAGGTTATAAAATTATTCAAAACAATAGGGCAAAGGTTACGTTTAATCACAGGTGATCGAAGGCTTTTACCTTCGATAAAGAATATCAATTGAAATTTGTCGATCCAACTGCATGACATGGGGCATTAAGCCCCGCCGACCATACTAAATATATTATTTTAAATTATTTTATTAATTTCTCTTCTTTTAATTAATATTTTATATAGAATATAATATAGTATGTTAATTATAATTTTATTTTAAATAGTATTTTCATCATTGCTTTGTTTTATATTTTTTTCTGTACATTCAACATTATTAAATATAAAAATGATATATTAAAAAAAAAATTAAAAAATAAATAAAAGTAATTTTATAATACTATAAAATTATTTTTTTAAAAAAGTTTTAAGTAACGTTTTGCGTTAATGTTACTCAAAAAAGAAACGCCTTGCCGCTATTCGTTATCCCTAGAAGAAAAAACGAATGGCGTTCCTTTTCTTCAAAAAAAGTAACGTCATTGAAATTACTTTACAGCACTAGTTTTAACTTAAAAGGAAGAATTGGTAAAAATAATATAATATATTTAACTTTTATATTATTTGTCAAAATATTATCCCTAAAAAAATTACCTAATTATTAATGATCTGCATCGGACCTAATTTTTCAAGCCGTCCGATATTTTTTTTAAAATCGGACCGCCCTATTTCGAACTAATTTTTTTATTTGTCTCTAAAAACCCGACTCGAAATAAAAATAATTTGTTCGAATTTATTAAAAGAAAATTTAATATTCTTTTTGATTGTAAAAAAAAATATTCTACAAATAAAAAATATTGTTTCTTGCAAGAATTTTAAAATATATCAATTTGACAAAATGTAATGATATTCATATTTAAAAATTTAAGCCCCACCCGGCCGGGCCCTAAATTTTTTAAAAATATTAGGCCCGACCCAGTCCGAACCGAAATTATTTTTAAAAAATATACCCGCGTTCGGTCCATGATTTGTAGATCTCTAATTATATTGAAATAGTTAAATTTATAATAATTAACTTCTATATAGATTTGGGTCCACTATATCGAATATTAAAAAATATCAAAAAGACAAATAAGCTAAAATGGCCCCTAAAGTTTGAAGCGAGAGAATTTAAAATATTAAATTAAAACATGTTGTAATAAATTTTGAATTTCATAATATGTTAATAAAAAACAATTTAACCAACCAGCCTATTTTTTTCCATTTCTAATTGTATTTTATTTATTTTATTAAAAAAGAAGCAAAACATATTTTTTGCTGGTATTCTTAATTTACAATTTCTATATAAAAAATTTTAAGTCATACAATTAAAAATGATATTTAAATTTATCAGAGTCCAATACCCAAAAATAAATCTTTAAGCTAAGTATTTTAAATATTTATAAACTGACAAGATGGTGCTGATAATGTTTCTATTATTTTAATTTGCATAACGTAAATTAAGTAGTACTTTGTTATTTATTAGTATTGGAGAATGTGTATTAATATTTTCTATAGACTGAATGGAAGAGGTCTGTATTTATGGGCAAGTTGATCCACTAAAATATAATTTTAATAGAAAATAAAATATCATAATCATTCATATCAGATTTGGTCTGGGTAGGATATGACCCTTTTGATTGATTATAGAATGTGCACCTTTATTTACTATATAAATTTAATAATTGTGTAATTAGAATAGCATAAAATATCTGCATGCCATATTTAATTAATAGAATTTAAGAAAATTGTTTACTTTTATACTTTCTATTTACATAAACTCAAAGTATTATGCTTGGTTGATTATTGAAAAATGGTAATTAGCTTGTAAATTCAATTAAAATAGGCCCTAAATGATAATCACCTTTTTTCACCTTTTCGTAAGGCGACAAAAGGCATAAACATAATCCTAATTCTAGACTACGGGATGATAGGCGTAGTGATTTATTCTTAAAACTTGTTTATCTTAAAATTTAAATTAAATAGTGATTTTAATTAAAGATAAACAAGTTTTAAGAATAAATTTTTACGTTTAGGGTAATAAGGTAAGCTATTTTTCATAATCGAGAACATATATTAAAATCCCAATATTCACAAATTAATAAACCAATTTTTTCCATAATATATATAACAAAACCCGCTTTTAGAAAAAATAAAAAAATATTATTTGTAAAAATCTAAGTCTAATCAAATATCATCTAAAAAATATATAAGCAAATGGTTGAATAAATTAGGGTAAATTCTACTAAATGTTGTGAAGTAAATGTCTATTAATTGAAGAAATCTCAATTGGACACTAATAGGTACTAGACATGCCTCTAGAATCTAAAAATATATGAAATAAAAAGGTAAGCAGTACCTACAATATGCCCTACTATAAAAGACAGAAAAACAAACAAAAATACAAATTTGTAATAATCATTCTAAGTATATTCTGCTCATATTAAAATAAGTAATGTTATAATATGAAATAAAAAGTAAAAAGTATGTTAATTTTAATAAAATGTTTATTGGGCCCTGTGGTAAATGATGCCTTATTTTAAGCCTGGTAAGGGTTATAATGTCTAAATTTTAAAAATCCAACCAAGGTTTGAAAAAATACCAGAACTGGGGTAAAATAGACATTTTTTAAAATCCTAGCCGGGATTGAAAATTGGATAAAATTTTTAAACTCGGGTCTGGCTTAAAATTTGTTTACCCATTTTTCATTCAAAGACTATCTCCGACTAATTTTGTCATCAATTCAATTTACTTAATTAAAAACTTATTAAACAGGCTAAAGGTAATAGGCGAAATTTCAGATCATATAGATATCTGAATACTGCATAGGGGGATAAACAAGGATGACGAAAAGATGAGAGAGTGGATTATCTTTACTTCCATATAGTTTGTTTATCTTTTCCAAGCACTTGTAAAAAACATAGCTTGCTCAATCACTTTTCGTCCTTCTGTAGACAGAAATCACAGTTATATCTGGAGCAGGTTTATGTGGCCCTAACTGCGCAGTTTTTCGCAGGATTATTGCAGTTTTCTGCCAAATTTAATTTTGACAAATAAGAAAAAGTAAACTATTCTACTGGCTCCCTAATTAACTAAGGTATGGTAGAAATTTTGAAATCCCTTTGGCGTAATTTTGCTTTACCAACATATCCTGCATTATAGATCGGATAAAGCGATAATAAAAAATTTCTAAGATAGCACTTAGACGCGCATCGGAGTTTTTTTAAAAGATCGCCATCTATCTACCTCATATATGAATAAATCTTTTACATTTTTTTAATATAAAAATAAATCTTTTTTTAATTATTTGAATTTCAATATTATTACCTAATTATTTTATTTTCAAGCTTTTTGCCATTCATCTCGAAATTTCGAGTCGAAAGGGTATCCTAACGACTGCAACCCCAAAGAAGGAAGTCCATTCGGCCCATTTTGGGACAATGTAGACGTTAATTTTACCGCAGGAAGTCGATTTTACTCACCTCTACAATTTTATCCTGCGACATCGGAAGATAATTTATTCGAATTAAAAAAGTAAATATAATGTTACTTGTCGGATTAAGGCATCATTGCAGGTCTAAATTTTCATTCAAGTACTAATGAGCACGAATGCTGATAATAACAATATGAGACTTAAAAAATGTAAAAAAATACGATGTTTTTATCGTATTCTATTTTAGCGGACTGGCCAAGCCTTGGGGGAAAAGTCCCATGGGGCCTCGGCCGGAAAGAATTTGGGGACCTTAGGAAAGAAAAAAGATTTAATATTGGTATAAAATCCAAATTAATATTTATACAAAATAAAATTATTAGCTATATAAGCGCTAAAAAAGGAAATAAAAATTATATTTAAAAATTTAGACTCAAATAGTCTAAAAATAATAACTCTTTCCCTATTTTCATCGGTTCTTTAATGAGGGTCCAATAGAAATTAAATAGGGAAATTCATATTATTGTTAAAATAAATAGCCTCAACTCTGATACATATTTACAGTGTTGTGATGATTTAATGAAACATTGACGATTAAATTAAAACCCATCCATACAAAATTATAATCTTTGCAAAAATTTTTAAAATTTAGACAAAGCATTATTGAAATTTCTTTTATTTATTCTTTTATTTATTCCTTTTGTTATTTTAATTATTTTTGCAAAGATTATAATTTTATATGGATGGGTTTTAATTTAATCGTCAATATGATTCATTAAATCATCACAACACTGTAATTTACAGAGAAAGGGGGGATATTTTTTACCAGATGTTAAAACAAAATAAAATGATACTATTATATTTTTATTTTAATCATACTTAAACATTATCCTATGTTAAAAAAATTTTAAACAACTTTTTAAAAAAAAAAAACTTTTTAAAAAAAACATATTTTTTCACATATCATTTACATAATTTAATATTTTTGTATATTTAATTTAATATTATTTTCAATCTTATAATGTTTAATGTAGACTACATTCTTTATAACTTTAATACATCTCCTTTACTCTCAAGTACTTCTGTAAATTATTCTTTGCCAATCTCAGATGGGAATGATATGGAAAATTATCAATCACATTCTAATATTTCTGCAAATAATAATTCTTTAGCAACTATTAATGAAAATATAAATCATTCTCAAATATCATCCATTCCTAAACCCAAAAGAACATACAATTGTTGGAACAAAGATAAAATTGAAATGGTAATGAAAATATTAGCAATGCCAGAGGAAGAACAGATGAAGGTTAAGGACATTGCTAAATTTGTTAATATGTCGAAGGCATCAATACATAAAATAAAACGGGATACATTCCCAGAAATTATTGGTGAGCCCTTAAAGGAATTCTCGCTTAAACAAAGGGGGAGAAAAATTAAAGACACAGCAAATATTGAAAGGCAAATTATGGATTTGCTAATCGACAATAATACCTTCACGGTGAAGGATATAATTGAGAATTTGCCCTCTGGTTCTCCAAAAAATATTGGAACTATAAGGAAATATATTAAAAACATCCGATGGTCCAAAAAAAGAGCTGGGAAAGAACCAGATCGCAGGAATACACCAGGAGCTATCAATATTCGACAGGTGTATTGCCGCAAATTGCTGAACATCTCCAGAGAAAGACTCTATTTTCTCTACGAAACAGGCATCAATTTTCATGTTGTACCTGTCTATGCTTGGGCACCACTCAACGTTAGACCATCAATAAAGGTGCCACCCTCAAAAGGGAAAAATGTAAGTGTACTTTGCACTATAGGAATTTGTGGAGTTATACATTATAAAATCATCGAAGGATCATATAATGGTATGTTATTCCGAAATTCATTAATGGATATTATTAGTATATTACCACCAGATGCCATATTAGTTATGGACAATGCGTCAATACATAAAAGTCATCTAATTGATGACTATAAAGAGAGAATTGAATATCTTCCCCCATACTCACCACACATAAACCCAATTGAAAATTTTTTCGGGGTTTTCAAAAACAAGTACAGGTCATTAATTCCCAGACCAAGTACAAGGGAACATATAATAAATAATATTAATCAAATAATGAATCAATTTATTCCATATGATTTTACAAATTTCTATAATCATATGCAACATTATTTGGAGCTGGGCTATCGTGGACTACCTCTTGACTAAAGTAATCTAATTATATAATAAATTACGATTAACATTTTTTAATATTTATAGGTACTACTTAAGCAAGCAATTTATGACTATGAACTATCATTAAATATTTCATATTTTATTAATTAATATTCATGTATTGGTGTAATTACGAATATATTTCTTATTATATATAATTATATGTATTATACGAATTGAATAAAATATTAAATTAAAGTTATGTCTCAAATATGATAAAATAAAGTGAGAGAAAAAAACTATTTTCAGAAATAAAAGATTCTGACTAAGATCTTACAACTTAAATGAATAATTTATCATTATATTTAAAATTATTCTACATAAAATATCGTTAACTAAGTAAAAGAAAATATGTGATGACAAAACTTTTTATATTTTTTTATAAAAAATTTTTTTTAAGTGTGACATTTAAAAAAGTTGTATATTTTTTTAACATAGATTAATGTTTAAGTATGATTAAAATAAAAATATAATAGTATCATTTTATTTTGTTTTAACATCTGGTAAAAAATATCCCCCCTTTCACTGTATATTTTTATTTTAACATACTTAAACATTAACCTATGTTAAAAAAATATTGAACAACTTTTTTAATGTCACACATAAAAAAATATAAAAAGTTTTGTTATCATATTTTTTCCTTTTGCTTAGTTAAAGATATTCTATGCAGAGTAATTTTAAAAATAATTATATGTAAATTAGAGGTCTGTATTGGCAGGATTTACGCCCGCCAATACTTTGAATAGACATGGTCGGGTTTTTTAAAATATTTTCAACATTGGGCGGGTGGCGGGAGGGTTGAAAAATTCTTTAAAGTAATGAGCGGGTAAATTTTTCATATTTTTCAGGCGAAATGAGCAGACGACTCCAATTTATTAAAAATATTTATTTCATAATATGGCATATATATGTTTAATTAAAAATACATTTAAATAAATTAATAAAGAGCCAAACCAGCCATTAAAATAATTTTTAAAAATTAGGTGGGTGGGTTAAATAAATTTCAAAATAACGAGTAGGCAGGCTTTTTGGCTAAAAACGCCCCCAATGCAGACCTCTAATTTAAATATTCATCTTAGTTATTAAATCTTAGTTAAAATCTTTTTTTGAAAATTGTTTCTTTTTAAAAATTTAATTTTTTTTTTCTCTCACTTTATTTTATCATATTTGAGACATAACTTTAATTTCATATTTTATTCAATTTGTATGTTACATATAAACATTATATAATAAGAAATATATTCATAATTACACTGATACATGAATATTGATTATATAAAATATGAAATATTTAAAAGGTATTCATAGTCATACGAAATTGCTTGCTTAGTAGTACCTATTTAATTAAAATATTAAAAAATGTTAATCGTAATTTATTATATAATTAGATTACTTTAGTCAATTGGTAGTCCACGATAGCCTCGCTCCAAATATTATTGCATATAATTTTAAAATTTTTAAAATCATAAGGAATAAATTGATGCATAATTTGATTTATATTGGTTATTATGTGCTCTCTTGTGCTTGGTCTGGGAATTAATGACCTATATTTGTTTTTGACCAAAAAAATTTTCAATTGTGGTGAATATGGGGGAAGATACTCTATTCTCTCTTTATAGGCATCAATTAGATGACTTTTATGTATTGAAGCATTATCATTAACTAAGATGTCATCAGGTGGTAACATGCTAATAATCTCCATTAACGAATCACGGAATAATATACCATTATATGATCCTTTGATGATTTTGTAGTGTATAACTCCACAAATTCCTATAGTGCAAAGTACACTTATATTTTTTCCTTTTGAGGGTGGAACCTTTATTGATGGTCTCACATTGAGTAGTGCCCAAGCATAGACAGGTACAACATGAAAATTGATGCATGTTTAGTCGAGAAAATAGAGTCTTTCTCTGGAGATGTTCAGCAATATGCGGCAATACACCTGCCGAATATTGATTGATCCCGGTGTATTCCTGCGATCCGGTTCTTTCCCAGCTCTTTTTTTTGGACCATCGGATGTTTTTGATATATTTTCTTATGGTTCCAATATTTTTTGGCGAACCTGAAGGCAAATTCACAATTATATCCTTCACTGTGAAGGTATTATTGGCCATTAGCAGGCCCATATTTTGCCTTTCAATGTTTGCTGTGTCTTTTATTTTTCTCCCTCTTTGTTTAAGAGAGAATTCTTTTAAGGGATCACCAATAATTTCTGGGAATGTATCCCGTTTTATTTTATGTATTGAGGCCTTCGACATATTAACAAATTTAGCTATGTCCTTGATCTTCATCTGTTCTTCCTCTGGCATTGCTAAAATTTTCATTACCATTTCAATTTTATCTTTGTTCCAACAATTGTATGTTCTTTTGGGTTTAGGAATGGAGGATACTTGAGGATGATTTATATTTTCATTAATAGTTACTAAAGAATTATTTGCAATAATGTTAGAATGTGATTGATAATTTTCTATATCATTCTCATCTGAGATTGGCAAAGAATAATTTACACAAGTATTTGGGAATAAAGGAGAGTTATTAAAATTATGTGAAAGTATATAATCAATATTAAACATCGAAAAAGTAAAATCTATATTAAAGATAGAAAAATTAATTAATATAAAATTAAATATACAAAAATATTAAATTAAATGATATGTGAAAATATATGTTTTTTTATGTTAAAATTTTTTTTTTTTTAAATTTCAAACTTAAAGTGCGGCATTTTTTGAAAAAGTTGTTTAATATATTTTTAACATAGATTAATGTTTAAGTATGATTAAAATAAAAATATATTAATATCATTTTATTTTGTTTTAACATATGGTAAAAAATATCCCCCCTTTCACTGTATACAATATGTTATAAACTTCAATTAAA